GAGGAGGACTGAGGAGGATGGCTGAGGAGGATGGCTGAGGAGGATGACTGAGAGGGAGGAAGAGGAGGAAGAGGAGGAAGAGGACTGAGGAGGAGGAGGAGAAGGACTGAGGAGGAGAAGGAGGACCCAGGAGGAGGAGGACCCAGGAGGAGGAGGACCCAGGAGGAGGACCCAGGAAAAGGCCCCAGGAGGAGGAGGAGGACTTGGGAGGAGAACTGTTGAGGACTGATGAGGAGGAGGAGGACCCAGGAGGAGGAGGAGGACTGAGGAGAATTGAGGAGGAGGACTGACGATGACTGAGAAGAAGGAGGACTGAGGAGTACTGAGGAGGATGGCTGAGGAGGATGGCTGGGGAGGATGGCTGCGGAGGATGACTGAGGAGGATGACTGAGAGGGAGGAGGAGGACTCAGGAGGAGGACTCAGAAGGAAGAGGATGAGGACTCAGGAGGAGGACTCAGGAGGAGGACTTAGGAGAAATGAGAAGGAGGACTGAGGAGAACTGAGGAGGAGGAGGAGGAGGAGGACTGAATAGGAGGAGGAGAAGGAGGGTGACTGGGAGAGGACTGGGGAGGAGGAGGACTGATGAGAAGGATGAGGAGGAAGACCCAGGAGGTGGAGGACTGAGGACCGAGGAGGAAGAGGAGGAGGATGAAGAGGAGGACGAGGACCCAGGAGGAGGAGGACTGAGGAGGAGGACTGAGGAGGACTGAGGAGGATGGCTGAGGAGGATGACTGAGAGGGAAGAGGAGGAGGAGGAGGAGGAGGACTCAGGAGGAGGAGGAGGACTGAGGAGGACTGAGAAGGAGGAGGAGGACTGAATAGGAGGAGGAGGAGGGGGACTGGGGGAGGACTGAGGAGGAGGATGGAGGACTGAGGAGAAGGATGAGGAGGAGGACTGAGGAGGACTGAGGAGGAAGAGGAGGAAGAGGAGGAGGATGAAGAGGAGGAGGAGGACCCAGGAGAAGGACCCAGGAGGAGGACTCAGGAGGAGGAGGAGGACTGGGGAGGAGAAGGACTGTTGAGGACTGATGAGGAGGACTGAGGATGAGGAGGAGGAGTAGGAGGAGGACTGAGGAGGGGAGGAGGAAGAGGACTGAGGAAGATCAGGAAGACCCAGGGGAGGAGGAGGAAGAGTAGGAGGAGGAAGCATCTAAATGTTATTTCCATTTTTGTCCGTTTTTGTCCATTTTTGTCCGTTTTTGTCCGCTCTATTTTTTGTCTGTTTTGAAAATATAGGGTACCGAACGGACAAAAAACATGATCCCCCCTATAACAGCAAAAATTAAACATTTTATTTAGCAATTTAAGTGTCCATTAATGTCCGTCTATGTCCGCCTATGTCCCCCTATGTCCGCCTATGTCCGCCTATGTCCGTCTATGTCCGCCTATGTCCACCTATGTCCTGTCCTTTTTGGATTCTATGAGACAAGCGGACATAGACGGACGTGACACCACTGTCAGCACTGAGGAGGACTGAGGAGGACTGAGGAGGACTGAGGAGGAGGAGGACTGAGGAGGAGGAGGAGGTGGAAGTGGAGGAGGACTGAGGAGGAAGAAGAGGAGGAGGACAATGAGGACTGTGGAGAAGGAGGACTGAGGAGAAGGAAGAGGAGGAGGAGGACTGAGGAGAAGGGGGAGGACTGAGGAGGATGAGGACTGGGGAGGAGGACTGAGGAGGACCGAGTATAAGTAGTAGGATGAGGATTGAGGAGGAGGAGGAGGAAGAGGAGGAAGAGGACAGAGGAAGAGTAGAACTGAGAATGTGTCTTACATACAAGGACTGAGGAGGAGGAGGACTGAAGAAGAGGAGGACTGAGGAAGAGGTGGAGGAGAAGGAGGACTGGGGAGAAGGAGGATGAAGAGAAGAGGAGGAGGATGAGTAGGAGGACTGAAGAGGAGGAGGAGGAGGACTGAGAAAGACTGAGGATGAGAAGGAGGATTGAGGAGGAGGAGGAGGAGGAGGAAGAGGAAGAGAAGGGAAAGAACTGAAGAAGAGTAGAACTGAGAATGTGTCGCACATACAAGGACAGAGGAGGAGGAGGACAGAAGAAGAGGAGGACCAAGGAAGAGATGGAGGAGGAGGAGGATGAATAGGAAGAGGAGGAGGATGAGTAGGAGGACCGAAGAGGGGGAAGAGGAGGAGGAGGACTGAGAAAGACTGAGGAGGAGGATGAGGATTGAGGCCTGAGGAGGAGAAGGAGGAAGAGAAGGGGAAGAACTGAAGAAGAGTAGAACCGAGAATGTGCCGTACATACAATTACTGAGGAGGAAGAGGATGACTGAGGAAGAGGAGGACTGAGTAAGAGGTAAAGGAGGAGGAGAACTGTTGAGGAGGAGGATGAAGAGGAAGAGGAGGAGGATGAGTAGGAGGACCGAAGAGGAGGAGGAGGAGGAGGACTGAGAAAGACTGAGGAGGAGAATGAGGATTGAGGAGGAGAAGGGGGAAGAGAAGGGAGAAAACTGAAGAAGAGTAGAACTGAGAATGTGTCGTACATACAAGGACTGAGGAGGAAGAGGATGACTGAAGAGGAGGAGGACTGAGGAAGAGGAGGACTGAGAAAGAAGTGGAGGAGGAGGAGAACTGGGGAGGAGGAGGATAAAGTGGAAAAGAAGGACGGAATGGGACTGAGGAGGACGAACACTGAGGAGGATCAGTAGGACTGAAAAGGAAGAGGACTGACGAGGAAAAGGAGGAGGAGAAGGAGAATGACTGAGGAGAAGGAGGACTGAGGAAGAAGATGATGAGGATGGGGAGGAGGGGGACTAAGAACGATGACTGAGGAGGAAGAGGACTGAGGAGGGGGACTGAGGAGGAGGACTTAGGAGGAGGAGGACTGAGGAAGAGGAGGGGAGGAGGGGAAAGGAGGAGGAAGCATCTACATGTTATTTCCGTAACAGTTTTTGTCTGTTTATGATCATTTACGTCTGTTTCTGTCCGTTTTTGAGGAGCAGGAGGATGAGGGTGGGGATAAGGAGGACTGAGAATGTACTGTACAGTGTACATGCAAGGACTGAGAAGGACTGAGGAGGAGGAAGATGCGTAGGAGGACTGGAGAGGAGGAGGTTGAGAAGGTCTGAGGAAAAGGAGGACTGAGGAGGAGGGGGAAGAAGTAGAGGAGGACTGAGGAGAAGGAGGACTGGTAAAGAGGAGGATGAGGAGGAGGATGAGTAGGAGGCCTGAGAAGGATGTTAAGGAGGAGGAGAACTGAGGAGGAGGACTGAGGAGGAGGAGGGCGAGGAGGGGAGAAGGAGGATCTAAATGTTAATATCGTAACAGTTTTTGTCCGTTTATGTCCGTTTATGTCGATTTACGTCCGTTTCTGTCCGTTTTTTTAGGAGGAAGAGGAGGATGAGGGTGGGGAGAAGGAGGACTGAGAATGTACTGTACATGCGAGGACTGAGGAGGAGGAGGAAAAGTAGGAGGACTGGAGAGGAGGAGGTTGAGAAGGTCTGAGGAAAAGAAGGACTGAGGAGGAGGGGGAAGAGGTTGAGGAGGACTGATAAAGAGGAGGATGAGGAGGAAGATGAGTAGGAGGACTGAGAAGGATGATAAGGAAGAGAAGAACTGAGGAGGAGAAGGAGGAAGAGGAGGAGAAGGAGGAGGAGGAGGAGGGGGGGGGGGGGGGAAAGGAGGATTTAAATGTTATTATCGTAACAGTTTTTGTCAGTTTTAGTCCGTTTTTGATGAGGATGGGGAGAAGGAGGACTGAGAAGGTATCGTACATGTGATGACTGAGGATCAGGAGGACTGAGGGGAGGAGGATGATTAGGAGGACTGAAGAGAAGGAGGTTGAGGAGGACTGTGAAGAGAAGGACTGAGAAGGATAAGGAGGAGGAGGTTGAGGAGGACTGTGGAGGATGCGGAGGAGGATTGTTTGTTTGGGCCCGGACGGTGCCGGTGGTTCTAATGACCATTTACTAAAATACAAAATACAATATAGTATAAATGTTATAATCAGAAGTTTTATAAATCCTATCCGTCCAAGTTAAACTTGAAGGGCGCTACACGCACGACGAAAACTCCCTTTAATGTGAGCTGAAGTAGACTACTAGTAGTAGAGCTAGTAGCGCTTGAAATTGACAGAACTGAAAACGAAATCTGACAATTGTCGCGAAAACTGACAGTTTTGTGTGCTCAAAGTGTCGAGAAATACTGACAGTGCAAGACTGGGCACACAAGAGTGAGTTAAAACATCCTCCATACAACAAAAACTTGAATACACTAATAATAATCAATTATTAAAAACACACAGGCTTATTCTGCAGTCTTATTAGTCTTATCAGTACTCTTTATAGCACCGTTTCTGATAAAGTGTAGCTTATCAGGCTGCTCAGTTACCAATCGTTTCATGTCCCTGACGAGTTCTTTTTGCTTGGCTCTCTGTTCTGGAGATCGATCTGGGCTGATAAAAACAGTTTTAAACTTTTCCGTTGCTCGCAGGTTTCTCAATTTAGCGAGAATCTGATTAACAATTGTTGCACTTGCCGCAGTCACTTTAACTGGTCTCACAGCCTTGCCAGGTTTGAGCTTTCCGACTCTACTAGCTTCGATTCTGGGTTTCTCTCCGATTGCTAAGAATGTTAGAATCTTAATTCTATTTGTAGCTTGTTATTGTACTTCATATTACTAACCCTGTATCTCACTTTAGCAAAGGTTTAGTTCCAGTGATTGTATATACAGTGTTGGGGTAAAGGGACTCCAGAAGGCAGACAAGGCTCGACTCCAGACTCCAGGAGTGTCCAGTGTTTAGTTGACTCCAGACTCTTTTTTTTATTTGAAAATTCAATTAATTATTATATATATAAATCAAGCGTTACATTTCAGCCATGCAAAATTACAATGACATATTTTTATATACTAATTGATAAATGGAACTGCAATATAAGTTGCTTAATGTTTGGCCGGATGACAACTAACTAAAAGAGAAAAATAAACTTGATTACATAATAATTAATTCGGCTGAACCAACACATAGCAAGAGCCACATTAACGTAGCGAAGCAGAAGGGAGAGGAGTGACGTTGTCGACTCCAGACTCTAGCGTAGCAGAAGGGAGAGGAGTGACGTTGTTTTAGTGATCCCACAGATTCCAGTCGACAGATACTATCTGTGTTCTGTGACGTGGAAAGAGTGGTAAGTAGTTTATAGTTATAGTTTAGTAGTTTAGTCTAGGAGTTCCCGCTTCCTCTTTCACTTTCATTTATAGTTTCACGTGGATTACCTTTCACTTTACTCACGGTAGTTTTCCCCCAGGGTTTTTATTATAGTTATCAGTTCCAGTTTAGTTGAAGTCCTCATCATTCAGAAGTACCTCATATAGTAAGAAGAACATCATCATCAGGAGTAGTAGTTTTAATTTAATAGTAGTTTAATCTAATAGTAAAAAGACATTATTTAGTTTAGTATTGATTTGTGTATTAGTTATAGCAGTGTGAGTAGCTGAGTCGCACCAATCACCTTTTAATCACTCATTCACTATTTGAGGGTGAGTACATAGAGTAACAAGGTTACATTTGAAACACCATTTATTTGTATAACCTCTTTATTCATCTAATTTGTATTTATAATAATTGAGTATTATTTGTTATTTAATTAACCCAAGAACAGGGTTCCAACAAAGAACACTTCACTGACCACGGTGCTGAGCTCCTCATTGTCCTGCTCCGATAAATCAAAAATCATCAGATTTTTGTTTCGGTCTTCCTCCTGTACCACAGTTTTCACAGCTTTCTTGATCATTTCAGAACTGACAGGCTTCTGAGATTCTGGACAATTCGCCCCTGTAATACCGAGCTGAAGGATTGGAATTCAGCCTTGACAGACTCTCCTACTGACGATTTAACTGACGTCTGCAACGATTCCAACTGTTCATTTTTGCAGGCTAGTAGTTCTGACTGCAGCTTAATGATAGTCTCCTGTGTCTCGAACATCTGATGCCCAGCTCAAGATTTATGCGAGATTGCGAGCCAGACTCATCGCACAAAATTTGTAAATAAATGAGGAAACAGAAAAAGTTTAACTTAAAAGTTGAGGGAATTAGGAACTTAACGTGTATTTTATCACTTGTTTATAGCGTGAAAACTTCGACGTAACGCGCGCGAGGTTTTGCCAGATTTTTGCTAGTTTCGTTTAAATCTCATAGCTAGGCTCACGATATCGTGAGATTTTCCGCGAGATTTCGGCACCCTCTTTCAGCACTACATATTCGGTCGCGCGCTTGCATTTTCATCGCTTTTCAGCGTGTTTATTCACTGTACTGTCTAAGTCTTAAAGGATACTATTACTAGTTGTTATAAGATCAAGATTCACAGTGGTTACTATAGTTACCATGGTTACCATTAAAGGAGGTCCGGTAACGGTCTAAATATCAAGGTACTATTCCTGGCTACAGTCTACTCCATCTTTCTCAGAATATACTTGATACTGCCATAGGCATATATCAGTTATTTAGAATATATATTCGCATTTATCCACACTATATTTACATTACACGTACAACGTGATATCGTGATCAGTGCAGTGTGTACAACACCAACTACACCGATTAATTGCCAATCTGCGAAACATTTAATAATTATTATCACTTCGAGATGGCCAGGCCTACTCTCATGCTGTCTATATGTGATGATTAACTCTGAAAAACTAGGGAAAACTGGGGAATGATCCCAGAACCTCGAGATTTCGCGTCTCTTGCTCTACCAATTGAGCTACTGACCCTGATTCTCAGAGCGAAATCACCACTCATATAATACAGCACAATTTCTATTTTTTTAAATTTTTATTAAATGTTTCGCAGATTGGCAATTAATCGGTGTAGTTGGTGTTGTACACACTGCACTGATAACGATATCACGTTCTACGTGTAATGTAAATATAGTGTGGATAAATGCGAATATATACCTTACTCGGGATTATTACGACGGGTTTATTAACGACCGGTTAAAATATGGTTCGGGAAAAATATGGCGAAATTGCTCAAAACCCACCACATTTTCCCGGTCGCCATTTTACCGGTGTCCAACCTTTCAATTTTAGATTCAAAAATTTTGTCTCAGATGTAAATTTCCTTATTAGAGATAAGCAAGTTTAGAAATTTTCGCATTGCTAAAACTTGTGAAACAAGTCGAATTATCAATAATTGTTGAAAGTAGACAGAAATAATGACTCGTGGTTAATCAAACTAGATGGAAAATAATGTTTAACATTTGAAGCGTAACAACCAGATCGATATTAAGATAAAGGGAGAGCTGTTTAGTCTTCCAATAAGTTGTAATCATCTTCGTTATCTTCATCTGGATCATCCCTTTCATCAGTTTTAATTAATTCAAGTTTTAATTTAACTGTTACTTTTACTTTGAGTCCTATTTCATTATGTAGAGATAGTCAATACCTAAGAAATTAAAAATTGGCCTATTTAAATCAAATTTGACAATAAGGATATATGACAAGAATTGGGCAAAAAGGTGAATTTTTTGCAATTTTAGCCAAATGAAGTCGAAAAACCTACAACAAGTGTCCCAATAGTCTTCTTTAGTGAATATAAGACAACGATTAATATATGAGCACCCATACCCCTTGGGAACCCTAAAAGCTGAGTAGGCGGGTTTATTAACGACCGGTGAAAATGTGGTTCGGGAAAAATATGGCGAAATTACCCTAAACCCACCACTTTATCCCGGTCATAATAATCCCGAGTAAGGTATTCTAAATAACTGATAAATGATATTCCACACAAAGCATGAAATTGTGCTGTATATGAGTGGTGATTTCGCTCTGAGAATCAGGGTCAGTAGCTCAATTGGTAGAGCAAGAGACGCGAAATCTCGAGGTTCTGGGATCATTCCCCAGTTGTCCCTAGTTTTTCAGAGTTAATCATCACATATAGACAGCATGAGAGTAGGCCTGGCCATCTCGAAGTGCCATAGGCATAGTGAATATTTCTTCATTAAAAGTTTGAGAAAGGGTCTCTTCAACTGGAGAACTGACTTATTAATCCTAGCAGATAATTAACTCTGGATCCTCATCACATTGATTCCATTCTAAATTCTAGCCATAAACAAAACAAAAATTACCAGATAACTCCGTTTACAATAATTTGACATGTTCCAGTGTGAACAAGGCCTTCCCCGGACAAATCCTTAAATGCCAGTCTTCTCTAGATGAAGTACGAACAGTATAATCTATCGGATAACGTATATTACAAGGTGCTCTGATGATAATTTTAGTAAAATAATTAATAATTGCCAAAAGAATGACCGCTGACGAGACTCGAACTTGCTTGACAGTCGCGCCCTAAACCATCGTGCTACGAGGGGCTTACAATACTTACAATATGTAACATAATATAATTCATAAAAATACGCACGTAAATTTTTCGTTATTTATGGATCCAATAACAGTGACATACTTACAATTCTGAGAAATAAACATCGAGCGACCTAAAGCGACATACTTACAATTTCGCTTACAAAGGGACTCGCGAAATCTTTTTAAATAGAAAATAATTTGTGGGGCAAGAAATCTTGGGGGTTGGGGGGGGGGGTGGGGAGTACATTTCGTGAAAATCGCACTTTTAGTGTCAAAATCCAATCTCATCGCACTTTTTTTAGAATCTTAATAGGGGATCTGATGTTTAACTGAGTTTGAGGCCATCTTGTAGTCCGTGGATACGACACCAGTGAACTCCTCCAAATATCTTAATGCCTCGTGCAACAAGTTACACGCAGTGTCCTTGTTCATCTTCTTCACGGTCGAAGGGGATAGTTGCCCAATTGCTGTGATCTCCATCTCGTACATAGCCTTGCTGAGAAGTTCAACTGAGTCACCCCTAAACATGTTGATCTCCTTTTCACCATACTTGCTCGGCTGGATGGTCATGGTCGTGTAACACGGTGATACACAAACCACTGTAGCTGCACGTTACAATCAACAGAGATAAGCACTAAGATAAGAGAGTAAGAAAAGAGCAACATATGCAATTAGTGTAATACTGAACTGGAGGATGAGGAGGACTGAGGATGAGGAGGACTGAGGAGGAGGAGGACTGAGGAGGACTAAAGAGGAGGAGGAGGAGGGGAAGGAGGAGAAGGAGGAGGGGAGGAGGGGAGAAGGAGGAGGAGGAAGCATTTAAATAATATGTCCGTAAGGAGGAGGACTGATTAAGATGAGGATGAGGAGGAGGATGAGTAGGAGGACTGAGAAGGATGATAAGGAGGAGAAGAACTGAGGAGGAGGAGGAGGAGGAGTAGGAGGAGGAGAAGGAGGAGGAGGAGGAGGAGTAGGAGGAGAGGGAAGAGGTTGAGGAGGACTGAGGAGGAGGAGGGATGATAAAGAGGAGGATGAGGAGGAGGATGAGTAGGAGGACTGAGAAGGACGATAAGGAGGAGGAGAAATGAGGAGGAGGAGGAGGAGGAGGATGAGGAGGAGGAAGAGGAGGAGGAAGAGGAAGAGGAGGAGGAGGAGGAGGAGGAGGAGGAAGAGGAGGAAGAGGAGGAGGAGGAAGAGGAGGAGGAAGAGGAGGAGGAGGAGGAGGAGGAGGAGGAGGAGGAGGAGGAGGAGGAGGAGGAGGAGGCGGAATGAGAAAGAGGAGGATGATAAGTAGGAAGACTGAGTATGGTGAGAAGGACTCAAGAGGAATCAAGAGAAGGAGGAGGAGGATGAGGAGGAAGAGAAGGAGGAAGAGGAGGATGAGAAGGACTTGGAGGGCAAGAGGACCAAGGAGAAGGAGGAGGAGGCGGACTGAGAAAGTGGAGTATGAGTAGGAAGACTGAGGAGGATAAGGAGGGGAGGAGAAGGAGGACTAAGGAGGAGGAGGAGGGGACTGAGAAAGAGGAGGATGAGGGGGAGGATGAGTAGAAGGACTGAGGAGGGTAAGAAGGAGGAGGAGAAAGCATTTAAATGTTATTTCCGTGACAATTTTTGTCCGTTTTTGTCCGTTCTAATTTGTGTCTGTTTTGAAAATATAGGGTACCAAACGGACGAAAACGGACACAAAAACCTTTTTTGGTTTTTTTGCATTGCATCTACCAGATCCATCTGGTCTTACAGTGTCTAAGTACTGAATTTTATTAAGTTTTTTGATCATGGTTGCTACCAGAGTCAATTTTATCATCTATAATGTCCTAGTAACAGCGATACATACAGATTATTGTACCCCTGTATACGTAATTTTAACAGTAATCGGAACATTATGGACTGATCAGTGAACTGAGTTAAACGGAAAAATGATTTTAAAAGATTTTTAATTTTTTCAATTTTTTCAATTTTTTCAATTTTTTCAATCTCAATTTCGGAAAAAGCATGTTTCAGAATTGAGATTGAGCTTCCTACCCCCCCCATCTTAATGTATAATTGTAGCTGCTGGGCAGCTTCAAAGCAGCTACTGAGTAAACTGGATATTTGCCACAGAAAGCATCTGAGGCAAATCATCAGAATGACTTACCCTAATATAATCAAAAACGACACCCTTTACAAGAGATGTGAAGTGGTTCCACTCAGTGAGCGTGTTGCATGTGCACGATGGAGGATGCTCGGACATGTCCTTCGCAGTAATAACAACTCACCTGCACAG